ACTGGGAGGCTGGGCTGATTCCAAAGCTGCTGTAGGGAGTACAGGTGAGGGTTATGAGGAGGGTCTGTAATGACCTGGAAGTTCCAGACCCAACTGGAAGCACAAGTAGCCCACTCAGAAGCAGACTCTAACTTCTAGGTTCTCTTTATAACTGAGATTGGGCTGCACTGTCTGAGGTGGCTTTGGGTTTCAGTAGGAAGCCACCCCAGCTTTAATAACCAGTAGACAAAACATGTTCCTTTGTTACTTCCTCAACCCTTTATCACATGCACTTTCCACCCTGGGAAAAATGGTTTAGGGTAGGCGGTGGCAAGTGCGTGGGCCAAATCTGGACTGCCTCTTGTTTAGTACTGTTAAGAATGGTTTTTAAATTTTTTAATGGTTAGAAAAAAAAATCAAAAAAAGAACAATATTTTTTGACATATGAAAAGTCATTGGAAATTCAAATTTCAGTGTTCATAAGTAAGTTTTTATTGGAACACAGCCACGCTCATTTACCTACTGTTTATGCTGCTTTCATTTTATAGTGGCAGAATTGAGCAGCTGTGGCGGAGACCATATGGCCCAGAAAACCTAAAATATTTACAATCTACTTCTTTACAGAAAATGTTTGCTGACCTCTTGTTTAAAAAATGGTTGAGGATTAGGAAGACCAGGTTACAAGTCCCTATCCTACCACTATGTGTGATCTCGTTCCACTGACTTCTCTAAACTATTTCCTATCTGCATAGCACATATAAAAACATATCTAGTTCATAAGGCTTTGGGGAGCATTAAATGGATCAATGCATATTTTAAAAATGCCTTAGAATAGTGTCTGGCACAACTAATTAATAAATGTTAACTATTAGAGCAGAACCAAGGGCAGAGAGCTTTGTCTGTGATATTTACCAGCATATTCCAAGCACCTAAACCAGTACCTAGCACATAGCAGGTACTCAATAAAAGTTAGTTGAATGCAAGAATATGAGCCCTCTGTTTTCCATTAATTCAGGGGTCAGTCAGACAACACTCTGTAAGGTTGAACAGTAAGAGAAATAAACTTGAGCTGGTCTTTCAGAACGTGGCTTACCAGAGAAGAGGGAAAAGGGAGGATTATATGGCTGTGGGAATGAGAGGATAAATTCAGAGGATTGTGAAGTGTTAACTAGGCAGGTCTTGGGGACATTGGGAGATAAGTCATAGTTTCAGAATTTCCAACTATCCTATTTCAGTATAAATCAAGTGGTTGGAGAAGGACATGATTTGAGGCGTGCTCCTCTGTCCCTTCCACCCGGTCATCCCCTCCTGCCCATGGAGTTGATACCACTGATTACAATTGGGGATGTTAAAGTTAGGAGCCAGTCCATGAAGCAAATGGAGTAGGTCATCTACAGATATCAAACCAAACAGGAGGAAAACTGACCCATGAGAAATCATCTTCATCGATCATTTTCAAAACCACCATTTATTTTTTAATGTTTGGAAAATAAATTAGGGCTTGACTACCAGTCTGACGGTTGTAAGCATATAATTATTTCAACAACCATAAAGGTTATACTTTTATTGCTTTCCAGGAAAAAAAGTTCTGATATAGATGAAACGATTGAAGTTCACTAGTTCACAAATTATCACTAACCAGAATATTTTAATAGTTTATTATTTATCCATATTTAGACTTCACTTTAAGTTGCACTATATAAATTAATGTATTTATTTATTCACTCATTATCAAATACTTACTCTGTATCAGGTATTGGGGTTTAGAGATAAAAGGTCCAGACTTGCCTTCAGTGGCTTGTGGACCAGTGGGAGAGACTAACACGTAAGTTAACAGTGTCCTGTGTCAGAGATGACCTGCTGAGGGGCTGTGGCCTCATCGGGGACACTTAACACCGACTGCACTGGGCACAGGGGAAGAGGTGGGATTCAGACATGATTTATGAAGGAGTGATACTGACCTGGATATTTAAGGATAAATAAGAGTGCTTTGATAGAGTCTAGACTCATGTGTGTGTATGTGTGTGTGTGTGTTTTGTTAAATCACTCTGCCCAAGTTTGAATAATGATCTTTCTTAGTTCAACACAGAAAGACTTAAAAGCATTTGCCATTTTTAACCCATCACATCGGGACATTTGTAAAACCAGAAAAAAGCAATTAGATTCAGAAAGAGAATAGTAACTACAGAATCTAAAAAAATAAAACTTAGTACAAATACCTAGTATATCCATCACAGTATATACTATAATACGTTATACATAGGATGCATTTATATCAGCATTATAGAATAGCTTATTATGCTGTATTTTACATAGAGATGGCATTTAGCAAATATATTTTTAAACTTACAGCTGAGGGGCAAGGTGGAAGCTCCAGCATGGAAGCGAGTCTCATCAAACTCTCCCTTATATCCTAGAAAAGAAAACAGAAATGCATGTGAACTGCTTTGTGATTGATTAATTTTTTAGCAATGGGAAGAAAAAAAAAATCTTGAATAAAATAAATCCAGCAAACCTACTTTTTACCACGATGGAAGCATATGCTGAAAGCTCTCCTTTAACATTCATTGCTGAGACCCGGTACTGAGCTGTGTCTTCAAAATCACATCTGAAAGAATATTTGGAAATGAATGGCCACCATAGTGAAAGTCCTTGTAATCACTGGCTATTCTATCAGGAAACTTTGCTAACACAGTGCACTGCAAATTAGTGACTAACATATGGCTCTTTGGGACTCCTGATGAAGTACCAGGTGGGATTTTAGTCTAAGTGACCTACTACAGTTCATGCCAGCAGCACAGGGTGGGAAGAGAACACCTATAATCCACTGTGACCCTAGCCTGGGTTCATTCAAAATGTAAAAAACAAAACAAAACAAAACACTAAAAGGAAGTCGACAAAGTGCTAAGCACATAAATTACAGAGTGAGCAACATTATGATAAACTTGTCTAACGTTGTATTGGGAGGAGAAAATGTCCAGCCACATAGCAGGTAACTAGGTAACTACCCCGAGGCACACTAGAGGGCGTGGCCTACTTGCTGTCCACCTTTCGGTGGTGGGTTTCAGCTTGGGGACAACAGGGTGACAGGGACGAGAAAGAAGCAGCCCTTCCTTATAGATTCTTACAGCCTCCCTGAGCCAGGTTGGTCTTATGTGTGGTTCTGTGCTCCAGGTTCATAGCACAAGTACGTTATTTACAGTTCAACTCTACTAAAGTTCAAGCCACATTTGGAGTTTCAGCACACAGCACAAGAAGTGACTTTTGGACGTTCTTCTGTGTTGTAAGACAGAAATGGAAATGTCTTATAAAAATGCAATTAGGGAGAGAACGATCTCACAGAGAGATGAACAAGCTAAGATTTCACATCAAGTTGTTTTGTGTCTTATCACTACCAGTTCCTTGTGTTCCTCGTCATTCCTCAGGGTTTAGTTCCATTTGTATAAGTTTCCATTTCTTATTGAAATTTTACAGACATCAATAGATTTTGAAAGCAACTGCATAGTACACCACTGCCTCAGTGGAACCACCGTCTGGCAGAACTGATGTGATTTTAGGTCAGGGACAGTGCTTGGCGACTGCTGCAGGGCCCCAGGTCTCTGACTGAAGCCCAGCATCACTTGGACCAACTCCTCTGAGAGCAGAGAAGGCTATAAATCTCTTGAGAATGGAATGATGCAAATTTCACTTTGACATTTCAGCACACTGTGGTTTTACCTAAACTGAAAATGGTGGGAGCTTGGTTAGCTTTTTCATCCACATAACTAGGTTTGGATTTCAAAATCATCTGGGGAGACACAATAAACCTTTGAGAACTTAGAATTTTCGATGTGGGTCCCATTTTCAAATTTTGCTTTGGACTTGACTTTACTCAAAAACATCCCAATGTCCAGCCACATACACAGACTGACAGATTGCACACTCTCCCAGAGTTCCTGGTAGCTGAAGGAAAGAACAATTTATCCAAGTCCAGCCTGCTTGCAATGCCACCCACCCTGATCTCCACAGCCTTTATTTATTAAAAGCAAAAGAGTATGATGATGATATTGATTTGGAACTATGAAAGTATTACTGAATACAAGCAGCTATTCATGCAACCTATGTTCTTACTGATGCCTAAGTATATAAAAGGATAAATAAAAAGATACAAATTAATTTTTTCTCATCATTTTTGACTAAATTCAAATATAAAATCACTTTGGGAGGCAGTGTGGGCATGGTAAGGATTCGTCATGCCTATCACTTTTAGGTGTGCACCAGAGAAGAAATGTGCATAAAAGTCCCTCATTGTGACCATGCTGCACTGCGACAAAGCGGGAGAGTGGCCTGGAGTGGTGAGGCACCTCCCCAAGCAATTGTCTGACCACACACAGGGACACTGATGTTCTCTTACGCATTAATCTCCAGAGTGTGCATTCCATAGCGACTTTCAATAATATACTTTTCAGGATTTGCATGAACATTTATTGGCACCTGGTTTTTATACCTATAAGATAATAGAAACAAAATTAAATTAAAATGTAAATAACTTCATGATTAAACAAACACACATAAAATTATTGTTCTTGCAGGAACACCTTCTGTAAACTCAGCACTGAGGGTAGCAGCAGCATCTACTCAATAAATGCAAATTAAATTAGCTTAAATAAAATGCACTAGCAAAACAATAAAACTTCTTGACTAAGTGCTTTCCCTTCTTCTGTAAAATTTACATGAAAAAGTTGACCATTCACGACAACATGGATGAATTTCATGTACAATGTTAGTGAAAAAAGCCTGTTACAAAAGACTGCATCAGGGCCGGCCCGGTGGCGCACTGGAGAGTGCGCCGCTTGGGAGCGCGGTGGCGCTCCCGCTGAGGGTTCGGATCCCATGTGGTGACCGGTTCCCGCTCACTGGCTGAGCGCGGCGCGGGCGCAACACTGAGGGTTGCGATCCTGTTGCTGGTCCCCGGTACGGCGATCCCGTTGCTGGTCCCCGGTACGGGCGCAACACCAAGGGTTGCGATCCCGTTACTGGCCAGTAAAAAAGACAAAAAGGAAAAAAAAAAAAAAAGACTGCATCATATAATAATTGTTTTTATATAGAGTACAAAAACAGAATGATGAATTAATGCTGCTAAAAGTCAAGATAGTGATTTCTCAAGGTCATAAAGGAGGCTTCAACGGTGCTGATAATGTTTGGTTTCTTGATTTGGATGCTAGTTACATGGGTATGTGTAATCTATGAAAATTCACCAAAGCTCTACATTTGTATATAATATGCACTTTTCTATGTGTATATTATGCTTCTATAAAAAAGCTAAAAAAAAAAAAAGTTGACCATTGTTGACATAACAGAGAGGAAGGCTTTGTGTAGGGGGTTTTATTGTTGGCTGTTTGTGTAGGATGAAAGCAAAACATTCTTTCTGCTAACATTCTTGTAGGTTGAAAGCAATGTCATTGCACTGAAGGATTATTAAAGTGTTTTACTCTGTCATAAGCAAACGAGGCTCTTGCCTTGGAAGAACTTACAAATCATGAAAGGAAACATCTGACAAATACAAGCTAAAAGCCTCCCCTTTTCTTTTTCTTTTTTAAAATTATTTTATTATTATTATTATTTTGACCAGTAAGGGGATCGCAACCCTCGGCATGGTGCAGTCTGTGCCACGCTCAGCCAGTGAGCACACTGGCCATCCCTATATAGGATCCGAACCTGCGGCCTCGGCACTACAAGCGCAACATTCTCCCGAGTGAGCCACAGGGCTGGTCCAAAGCCTCCCCTTTTCTGACTGTTCCATCTCTGGTTAAGCCTCTCAGCCCACAGAGGGTGGGCTGCACAAAGGGGCCTCTCCCTGAGACACTATCTTCCAGATCTGGTCTGTAAAAGTGGTGCATGGGATTCTTCACCACATCCTCATGTTTTCAGCAGATAGTAGCTGTTGTGCCAGAGTAGGCCTCTCCATTTTCTGACCCCAAAAAGGAACTGGGTTTCACTTGTTTCCCTTTCAGACACACTACTTAGTGTGCACAGATAACATAAACAACACTAATAACCACAATGGACACAGAATTTACTGTGGGCCAGGCAATGTCCTACGTGCTTAATGTACACATATACATGAGGTAGTACTCTTTTTAACCTCATTTTCCAGGAGAGGAAACCAAGGCATGGAGCTGTTAAGGAATTTTCCCAGGCCACCTGGGCAGGAACAGCAGAGCTGGGATTTGAACCCAGGCAGTCTGGCTCTCGACTTTCCAACTGTTTTCTATTTAGCTGCATTTCTTTACTTCAGACTTTTGGAAATGACTACAAGGAGGTTTGGGAGCAGGGAAAGTGATGGAAAAGGAGAGAAAGAAGGAATATCAGCATCAGTCAGTTCCTTTCCTTTCCCCAACACTCTCTCTCTTACACAGACACACACCTTATGTCACTAAAGCACATTATTCATTTTCTACACTTTTTTTTTTTTTTTTAAATGAATCACTCTCCTTCTCCACCCAGCAAAAGCCCAACTCATCCTTCAAGATTCAGGTCAATGGCACTTCTTCAATAAACTCCTCTCTAAAATCCCACCAATATGAATTATTCTTCCCTCTCTGCATCAGGGTTATTTGTTCCGAATTGCTAAATATAACATTTATCCAAATTGTGGTTGAATATGTGTCTCTTCTACTAAGTTGCCAGTTCCTTGAAGGTG